TATTTATATTATTGTAGCTATTTAGATTTGTTCCTCTTGATACCCAAGCTTGTCATTTTCACATTCTAATAAAAAGGCAAAGAAAGTATCCTAAAAGTTCAATTTTTTGTATTATTCGATCTAAGTTTTGTGTTCATTCTAATTCAAAAACATCCTCAAAGGGGAAGACAATAAACAATAAACGTCTTCCCAACAGACAAAAATCCCATTATGGAGAATGCAATGCAAGTTGTCAAAATATGTATTTCTTCAAACTCTATCCCTTTTGTTTTGTTATTTTTGAATTTTCACTATACAGAATTCTATACCTTGGAGTAAAAAATGAAAATGTAAGGCATTGGATGCTAGTAAACATTGGACCACCACCATATCAGGCTGTCTTTGAAATTGAAACTGAGCTTCCATATGCATTTGCAGAGAGTAAAGTTAGGTCCACCATATCGTCCACATGCTTTCTCAGCTCTCAACTGCAAAATATAGCACATCCCACCCTTCCTACTACTTTTTAATTTCAAAATTAATTTCCTTACAAATGTAAATAATCTATCCATTTTTTTCCAATCTAAAATCTCTTGTTCCATTTAGAGAATACCACGCTTAGGTAGTTGGCTTCAAGTACTTTTCATGCATGTTGTATAAAATGAAAAAATCGATCCAAGGTCATCTGATATACAATTATCAAAGGAGTTGGTGTGTTTTCAGCAAATTTCATATGTAACTCAAGATTTCAAGCTATTTTTAAAAGATCATATGCAGAGTTACATAGGCTGGCTTCAATAAAACAAAACAAAACACAGCAGTTGCTCAATCATGTCTAGATATTGAAATGCAAGACTTCTTGGTTGCAAATGTCCGCCTAAGGATATAAAGTTGCAACAAAAGCTAAAGCTGATAAAGAAAAAGCTAAAGTAATAATTACAACCACCACGATCCACCCAACAACACATGAAACAGTAATCCACCCCCAAGTATAAGCTCCAAATGAAAAGTAGCACAATTGGAAACTAATGAGATAAAAGAACTAAAAAAGGAGGAAATACAATTGGCTTCTAATAAAAGAAATATCTGCCCGCTTGAAGAAACAGATACATGACCACGACCTTCAACTGGATCACCCTGGACCTGAAGAACTCACCGGTAATCATCTGTGTCACTGACTTCATCAGGTTGGGCGTGTATATCTTCATGTATGCTGGATCGATGTATCTCCTCAATGCGCCTTGTCACCTCAGTTATTGAGGGGCGCCTGTCAGGATACTGGGCAGCACAATCTATTGCAAGCTGCAACAGCTGAACCATTTCTTCCTCAACAGTCTGATACCTGAGAAGCTCAAGATCAAAAACTTCAGAGCTCCACTCCTCTCTAACAATTGACTGCACCCATCTTGGGAGGTCAACACCTTCCTCATTCAAGAGGGCATATGTGGGAGCTTTACCAGTCAGTAGCTCCAAGAGTAATACACCAAAGCTATAAACATCAGCTTTCTGAGATACTTTGCGAGGATCAGTCACCTCTGGTGCACGGTACCCAGCAACACGATTCGGTGTGGAGGAAGGCCCAACAAGATGTGCCAAGCCAAAATCTGATACTCGGGCTTCATAGGATTTTGTGAGGAGGACATTTGATGATTTTAGGTTCCCATGGGAGACATTAGGACCTTGTGAGTGTAGATATTCAATGCCACGGGCAGCTCCAAGGGCAATACGAGACCTGAGTTCCCAGTTCAATGGAGTCCTTCCAGCTCCCTTGTTCCCTGTAGCAACAATATAGGAGTCAGGTGGTAGGAAATTAATGTTAACTTGCAATGAAAAACTCAATCCATCGTTATGGCTCCTGAACAAAATTTGAAATAGAAAACTACCTTTAAAGGATACTATGTTAATCTTAACACAGATTAGACTCTGTGAGAGAACAGAGGAAAAGAAAACTAAGATCAGATCACATCCACCATAGTTTAATGACAAAAAATGATCAGGACATGCTTGTTGGTCTATGAAAATGCAAACGCTAGAATTAGACAAGCACAAAATAATTCACCTAAAAGGAGGAATGGACCTAAGTCCTAACAATGAAATTGAACAAAATAAATAATAATAATCAGCTAATCTAAACTGCAATCACTTAGCCATTTATGGACCTCTTCATAGAGGCCTCAATTCAAGAGCACACTGATGATAACAAACATGAAGCAAAATGAAGCCTAAAAATAAAAATAAAATAAAATAAAAACTCCCAGAAATCATATCTAAAAGATTGTGAAGCAAAGAAATTATAGCAAATTATTTCAACATTCACCAATGTAAAACTGAAAGAACTAACATCATTATCACCGTTGCAGCAGAGAAAATTCAATCCAAAAAGGATATTGCAATCTCACCATGCAAAAGAGCTGACAAGCTTCCCATAGGCATGTAATCATAGACAAGAAGCTTCTCGTCCCTGCTGTAATAGTAAGCCCGAAGAGGGACCAAATTCTGATGATCCATAGCCCCCACGCCCTCAATCTTCTCCTTGAATTCCTTCTCAGAAAGTGTCACATCCTTCAACCTCTTCACAGCCACGGCAGCGCCACCCTCCAATACCGCCTTATATGCTGTCCCAAATGTCCCCTTTCCCAGTACCTCCGCGGAGGCTCTCAATAAATCCTCTAAGTCAAACACCCTGGTTGCGTTCCCAAAGAACACCAACTTCTTAGCCCCAGTGCCATTCGTCTCTCCTCCTTTTGCGTTCCCCGCCATTGCTGCGGCTGCAGCTGCTGCCACAGAATATCCATATCCAACATTATCCAGTTCCACAGCCGGTTTCTCCCTGGGAATTTCTACTTCCTGCTGCTTTATGGACGTAATGTCGATGGACCTTGATTTCCTGTTACTCTTCTTTCTGCATAAAATCACCAAAATCACGACAAGCAACAGAAAACCCAGAACACATCCTATCGCAATACCTGCAACTGCACCACCGGACAACTTCTTCCTCTCTCGCTTCTCAGCTGTTGTTAGAGGGGTAGGCTCAGTTCCGTTCCCAGCAGCTGCAGCAGGAGGAGGAGGGCATGCATTATCAAGTGGCAGCCCACAAAGCAGATTGCCCAGAAAGGCACTCGACCCGTACTTCTGTAATCCCTCAGGTACAGACCCATTCAACAAATTGTTAGAAACGTTGAACTGATCAAGATTTTGCAAATTCAAATCGGGTATGGACCCAGAAAACTGGTTGCTATCCAGAAGTAAAGTCCTCAACCGAGTCAAATTGTTAAAACCATTCGAGATCTCCCCAGAGAAATTGTTGGAAGCAAGATTGAGCCTAACAAGTGCATGAAGACGGTACAGAAAATCCGGAATCTCACCGGAAAAACTGTTCCCCTGCAAGTAAAGATTCCGGAGATTCACGCATTGACCGAGATCCAAAGGAAGCTGTCCAGTCAAGGAATTGACACGGAGGCTCAGAGTCCGCAACTCCGTCAAGTTACCGAAAATCCCAGGTGGAATTTGGCCAGAGAGAGCAACCCCAGGTAGACGAAGCACCGTAACGCGATTCTGCTCGCAGTTAACGCCTGTCCAAGAGCAGGGGGTGTCACTGGACACATTCCACAACAGGGTCCTACCCCTCACCGAGGAGCGGAGCGCCAGGAGCGCTGCCCTGTCGGAGGCGAGATCTGGTTTGCAAAAAGGGACCAAAACGAACAAAAATACCCAGATGGCAGAAATTGGGTAGTGCATTTTCCGGTATCCCACAAAAACAAGAACAACCCAGAAGCCGGAGTGAAGGGAAGAAAATGTGGGTTGCTTCTCTAGCAATTTGGGGTTGAACTTAGAAGCATTGGGTATCTCCGAAAAAGAGGTGTTAATGAGAGAGCATTGTCTACGTATGGATGCGAGTGGTTGGATGGGTGGGTGATTGGTAAGAGAGAAAGGGAAGGAAAGGGAAGGAAAGGGAAGGAAAGAGAAAGTGGGTGTGTGTTTCTGTGACTGAGTATGGTAAAAACCTAGATCGGTGTAGTGATGTAAAATGAGTGGGTAGTCAACCAGGTTTCTTTTCGAACTTTTTTTTAGTACAGTTGTAATTATTTTGTCTTTTTCTTTTTCCATCTTCTTTTCAGTAAAACGAAAATGTTGCTGCTGGGCTGCCTGCTGCGCTGCGATTCTACATAGAAGTACACAATTTTGTTATCAATAAAGGTGTTTTACAATATTAATTTTGAATTGTAAATAATTCTTCTTTTTTATTCAAAATAGGACGATCTTTTTAATTTTTTAATTTTTATTTCTTTCCTTTTTTTTTTTTAACACTCAGCTTGTGCTGTTCGGACAATCTTTTAAGAACTAGACCAGTAATTAAACCGTTTTGACTACTGGCTTCGGTCCATCAATTTAGCTTAATAATGAATATTAATATCTTTGGTTAACTTTGGTTGGTCAATATTTGTTTTCAATAAAAAGAAATATAGTAATAATTTTTATATTTATTTTTAATTAATTATTACTAATACTTAAATAAATCTCCTTACTTAAAATAAGTTGTAGTTATGCAATTAAAAAAAAAAGTTGTAGCTTTCTTTCTATAACAAAGATAAAATAAAAATTAATGTATTGAATGACATGTTAAAAAAATAAATAACCAAAGTTTTGAAATTAATTAACAAATTTTCTATAATCTTATAAATTTCATTAAAAAATCAAATTACAATTAAATCTAGAAAAATCAAATCTCAATTTTCTACTATTGCCCCTGCTCATCTTCATGTTTTGCTGCTGTAAATGGCATGTGGCGATACCCATTCGCCGCTTCACCTGGATATTGAACGGTGATCAGCTGGCACGAGTCCAACCGACAGTTTGTTGGAGGCTAAGAACATCGGCATAGCAGCAGTAGCAACGCTAGTCCCCACGGCATGCAATCGGCAAAGCATGAACTAAGTAGAGGAGCTCGTGGTCGGACCCACCATGGAAGACACTTTGTGAGTGGCTGGGACAGTGACGAATCCAGTGGCGACGATGATGGAAGGCTCAGCCTGGCAGAGTAGCCACTCAATAGTCTCAATTTTCTTAAAAGGAACTTGATTTCCAAGCATAAAATCTGCAAGAGAATCAACAATTGATGAGAGCAACGATTTCGGAGAACCATCCAACATCGTTGGCAACCATGCCGGAAAAAGTGGGATACGGTTTCTTACTACTGATTTTACTTGGATTTTTAGACTATATGGAAATCGAGGAAGAGTGGAGAAAGAGAGGGGGAAGGAAGAAGAAGAAACACAAGGAAGGAGGAGATGGTTTGCAAAAGAAGCCAACAAGTTTGAGAAGGGGTGGAGAGAAGAAGACGATCAGGCGGCTATTATAGATTCCAAATTCCACACCTAATTTTTTGCGGGTCTCCTTCACAACCAGAGGTCCGTGTTTTGTGATCTGGGTTTCGAACAATTCCTTGACTGCTTTGATTTCCTTTGCAATTGGCATCATGATTGCATCTCAAGGGTTTCATAGATATGTGATCTAGGTGAAGACTGTATCGCTAGATCTCACCGACTCATTTGTTTGTAATGGGTGATATGGACTAGACAAGCGAGGGATAAACTGGTTAGAGAGGCTATTTGGTTGAATAATGATAAAAAAAAGTCGAAAAAAGAATATGATTTCACTGGACGATTCTAAATTGATTTGACATATTAATAATATATTAATAAAATAAAATTTACATTTGTCTCTTTTTTTTATATTTTTTTTATGTCGTGAGTCTCACGAATTCTCTCATTTTTTTATTTTATGTATCATTACCCTATTTGGCTTTATTTTTTGAACCGAGTTTGTGTAAGGGAGTGTGTGGGTTTACGGTAACCATATCATTGTCTTTTTGTTTTTAAATAAATGTCATTTTTAATTTTAATATTATTTCAAATTAATTATTTTTATTTTTATTTTTTAGGATAGATAATTTTTTTTTATTTTGACTTTATCATTATTTATTTATTTAGATTAATGTTTTGTAACAAAAAATTTTCATTTTATCTTTTAAATTTTTATAAAGTTAATATAAAAAAATACATAAATTATCTTTAAATTTTTAATTTAAAAAAATGAAAAAAAAAACAATTATTTAAAACAAAAAGTATAACAATTAGTACTATATTTAAATTGATATTATACTTATTTTTATTACAATTATATAATATAATATAAGATAATTTTTTTATCTGTTATTTATTCACTCTATCAACATTTTATAACTTAAATCTAGAATCTTTTAGTTCTAAAAAAGAAATTATTAGTGCACTGCTTTATTGGTTAGCAGTTGCTGCCCTTGAGAGAGTTCACTTGGTGTAATTTGAACTTCCACCGAAGATAGAAATAAGAGCTTCGTTTTGAATTATAACAACACTATGTAATGACATTGTATTCTAGTGGAGGTGTAAAACGCCGGCTTTATCCTATTTTCTTCTAGGACTTTATACTCAATTAAGTGTTAAATTTGTCCCAAAATAATTATTTTTAAAAATTTTTTTAATTAAAAATTCAGAGATAGTTTTTATATTTATGTATAATATCTTTAAAAAAGAAATAAGAGATAATGAGAAATTTTTTTATGCTGTAAAGAAAATTTTTTTGTGATTGAATGATTAATTAAAGTAAATGAATAATAATATAGATAAAATGAGAAAAAATATTTATCTATTTTAAAAAATAATAATTAATTTAAAATAAATTTAAAATAAAAAATAATTATTTTGAGACACAAACTAAATTTTATTAAATATAAATAAAGATAACGCAACAGACCATAATTTTATAATTGACTCACAAGAGGTATGTAGCTATTCCTACAGTATATATATAGCAATAGGCGACAACTGCTTGGATTAAAACAAATTTGGACAATTAAGAATTAGAAGTCACTTAAAATTGGTAAACAGCTATCAGTTGCAGTAGGCATAATAACAGAGTTATAAAATAAAAAGATTACCATTGTGAGCTCCCTGAACTAACATGAAGTCACACTTGACATTACCAAAGTTCAAGGCAATGTTTTAAAAACCAGATCGGATCGGTCGATTGAATTGATTAGACCAATACTTGATAATGGAAATGGATTGGGTTAATATTTAAAACCATTTAAGGGATTAAACTGCTCAAAACCATCCAAACCATCCAAATCAATAAAAACCAAAAAATCGTCCAACCGACGAGCTAATTATTTAGAGAAAATTTGCAAAGTTTGCTGTTACCTCTGGGTTTTGAACACGAGACCTCCTTAAGTTTGAATAACTCTTTTACCACGAAATGAGTAACAAAGATCGTATTTTAAAAAGTATTACAAGACTAAAGAAAATACTCATGATCATTATCATGAGATTCGAACACTTGCCCTTTTACACCTGATTTGAATCAAATTTATTGATTTTTATTGTCTTGAAATTTATTTATTATAATATAATTATATAAATAAATAAATTTGACACATTTGAAATTTGAACTTGAGTTTTATATGACATAAACAAGCGTGTTTCAACCACTACAGTTATCTCTTTTTTTTTTATAAAAAATTATATTATATTATATTTAATATATATTTTTAAAATTCAATTAATCTAATTTTTTATTCGATTAAACCGATTCAACCGTTAAAATTATGAATTAAAAATCAAAATAATTTGACTTTCTGTTAAATTTTAAAAACCTTGCTTCAAGGGCAGCAAAATCCCCTGTTGGCTAATAGTAGCCCGTCTACTACAAGCCAGGTAATTTAATTTAGGCTTAATTAGGCAATATTTATTTATAATTAAAGTGTAAAATTTTTAATTATTTAACACTCTAAAAATATATATAATATATTTTATATATTTAATATTTATTTTAATTAACATTTAATATTTTTTTAAATAAAAAAATTAAAATTAAAAGGTAAATTACCGAGAAGTGTTGTCAAATCATCTTGCCCGGGGTCGGCACCCCATCCCTGAGCACCAAGGCCACACGCGAATTGCCCGCTAGGATCTTTGATGCTCTCTCGTCCTCCCATACTCTGGATTTCTCTTTTTCCACCTTTTATGAGGCTCTTAAGTGAAAACCTCCTGAAAGGAATTTCTAGGTCAAAATCCAATGAGAGTAATGGTAATAAGAGATCGGTCTTAAACATGCATCTTTGCGCCCTAATCATGTCGAAATTTGCACCATTGGTTTTTATGGTAACATAGCAGCCTTCCGCCGTATATTTCAATTTAAGAGCAAGGAACGGATCCCATAGAGTTCCACAAAATCCCCCCAAGACAGACCCGCTGCCTCGCTCCATTGCACTTCGTTGTTAAAAAACGAAAGTATATATTTAGTTCTCACACTTTTTAAATCAGAATTTTTTATTTAATTATTTAATTTTTATTCTTAAAAGACATTAAATGTTTTTTTTTTCTAAATTCACCCCCTACTAACCTAACAAATAATACAAGAGAAAAACTTTTATTAGAGATAAATGAACTAGTATTTCAAGTCTTAATCATTCTATTTTCGCTTTTTAGTTGTTTACTAAATTATCTCTTTAATTGCGCAAGTTTTTTTCACGAGAAATAATTATGCAAGCTTAAGTTGAAACAACTAGAAAAAAATAGTTATAGTACCAACGACCTTTTGATCCGAAAGGAAGAAATTCAATTTTTTCTTAAATAAGATTTTGAGTTTGAGTTTTACGAAAGAAAAAATAAATGCTCAGAGAGTTTCCTTTTTAATAAGTTTGACGCGACTTGATTCTGAATTAATTGAGACTTCATATGATTATCGAATATAAAAAAATTAATATAAAAAAAAAGTTATACTAGAGGGTGATATTATTGTCATATTTTTAATTATTAATATTAAATTTTTTATTTTAATTAATTAATATATCTTATTTTATTTATTAAAAAAATAATATATAATATTAATAATTTAAAATATGATAATAATTCCATCAAATAATATATTTGTACTATCTTTTTCTATAAACATAGGTTCCTCGAGTGGTTGACAAGTTGAACCGCATAATAATCTTCTTTTTGTCCATGTATTTTGTTTTATCATTTTTCCAGCTTACATGATATCGTGATGTTTTCCCATTAAATTGATTTTAAGAGCTTTAGATAGTCAAAATCTCAATAATTCGTATAAATGCTGTTGGTCAAATCTTGAGCTTCGGGAACCTTTGATGAGTTGGAAAAAAAAAAATGGTTTGATTTATATTCATTTGTATGTGAATGGAATTGATAGTTACTAAGTTTGAAAATTTTATCGTGTGGCAAGAAATTAATGATATTTTTTCTTCTATGGAAAAACACAAAACTCTTTGATGCACGTGATTGCATTGCATTACGTCCCTCCAAAAGGAAGGATTTCATCGTACCAGCAAATACGTAAAATTATATTAACATCATTTAATTTTATCTATTGTATAATTGTTACAAACAAGATAAAGATACTAATTAATTGGGTATCAAGTGATTTTTTTAGAAAAAAAAATGTTTATTTTACAATGATGAGGTCCCATCATCTTTCTTGACTAATGGTTGCAAAAGGCAAAGAGACAGCCAACGACCCGACGACTAAATGACAGATACGACCTTTATTTTACCATGTGTAGTAGTAGTACCACACTTGCAAGATGCCTATATGGTCATGGGCCCCCCTCCTATAGCAGCCACAATAATCATGCAAAATTTGCCCCACTTTTTCCCCTTTTTATTTGTGCTAAATCTCATGAGAGTCACTTGACTTATTGGGGTTTATATCATTTGGGTTACTGACTTCTTAAGAATCTTTTTGCGTGGGTTATTATTATTTGTTACGCTCTTAATAAAATGTTAATTTCAGTCTAAAATGTTATATTTTTCTCTTTATATATATATATATTTATTTATTTATTTATTGTACTTTTAATTTTATATCTCTTAATTTAAAGAGCTTTTAAAAACATCGTGCTTATTAACTTTTATTTCTTCCTTTTCAGTTTAGTTGTCATAGGGATGGAGCTAGCA